ACCATATTCATGGAAGTGTTTGGGGACATAGGCTGACCAGTAGTCTTTGTCCTGTTCTCCATTCTGCGGCATTCTATCCTGATTCCTCTTGGTGTCTAAACCCATAATAAGTGATGCTACGGCTTGTGCATCAGGGTCTTCTGATAATGACACCCATTTAATGAAGCTGTCCATGTCATTCCAGTTGTCACCTAACTCCTGAAAACTGACAAACTCTATCAAGTCTTCGATGTGGGGGATGTTCATGTCTTCCAGATCCTCCTACTAGACTGCTACCTGTGAGGGTGCACATCTGTGTGGGCATCCGGTGAATTCGACAGTGAGTTTTCCCCAATCTACTTCAGGATTATGCTCCTTAAGGAAACTCATGCCTAGTATAATGTCCTTGTGACCTATATCGGTGACCAGAAGACTCTGTCTGCTTGTATGTTTTCTGATAGTTATGCTAAGAAGAACCCTTTTCTTAATAGTTCCACCCCTGTTGTGAGATGCATCTGCATTGTATACCCTGATCTCCTTTTCAAGTGAGATTGTAGCAAGATTCAATCGATCAACCAGCTGTGGGTTGATGTAGCAAGAATATGCTCCTGAGTCGAGGAGCACCTCAGTCTGGACTTCCCTTACTCCCTGTTTGAGGTGAACAGGTAAATCGATCACATGTTTTGATGAACCAGTAGATGCAATATATAAAAAAACTTGATACTGGTACATGTGAGAGTGAGTAGGTACTATGACATTGTACATGGGAACTCTGACCAGACCTCAGAGAACTCGCCGAAGAAAATCCTCATCATTCTCCACCTCTGTGATCCTAGCTGCTTCAACAGCTGGTTCTGGTTCGGCTTCTTGATCCTTCATATCATAGCTGGCAAGGAATGCACAGACTGCTTCCTCTCTTGCCTTGCTATCATCGTAACTGCTTGATGCCACTGGTGTAGTTACTGCCCTTGTTGCTTGACCTCACTTCAGCATTTCAAATTTGCCTTTGTACTTGGGGTTCGGACAACATTGCTTGAATATGAAGGGGTGCTTTCCACAACGTACGCAGAGCTTCCTTTCCAGCCATCCTTCCTGTTCCTTTGTGAGTTGGTTCAGGTGATCGACGTCCATTGTGTTAGGGTCCTTTCGAGCCCATGGTGCCTGTGATGATGATGTCATTGTTGTTCCATGCTGTCCTGCCTTATCGGCTCTGAATTTGGACTCGAGTTAGAGACAGAGGTCGAGATACTCTGGTCATGTGACTGGGTCAGCGATACCTAAGCTGTCTCATGTCACCATTGCCTGGTGCACGTCCTTGTCCCTATGTTCAGCGATGTAGCCAATAAGAGTGGTGTTCTCCAAGGTGATCTTGGTGGCCCATTGGTGGAACTTCTCTGCAAAGGAGACCATAGTTGGGTAGGTCTTTGCACAGATCTCCTTCAAGTGCTGTTGCACGTCTTTGTCCAGGTCGAGGGTCCTGTAGTTAACCTTGAGGATATTGATGAAATCGTCCCAAGTGCCAAGTGGTTGCCATGCTGCTGTCCTGATGCCGTATTCTGACATGTAGGTGAATGCGCCACCTTCTGGGTGCAGTAGTGCCGTGGTGATTTTTCGTTCGTCCTCATTGATCTCATTCCACCGCATCCAGATGCTGAGTTTTTGGAGCCAGTCCTCCGGACTTCCTTTGCCCGAGTAGTGTGGAGGTTCGGCTATCTTAACATGTGGTTTGTGTGGTTGGGTCGTTCCGGGGTTGTGCCCTTGTGTTGTTGAAATGTCGCTTGCTTTGAGTGAAGCTAACTCATGGCACAACTTGGTGTTGTCTGCACCTACTTCCATCATTTTCTTCACCAGTTCTAACATTCCTGCTTGGGTGACTGTGATTTCGTCATTGAGGATGATCATGTGTGTGTTCTGAGCCTTGATTTGTTCTGAGAGTTTCTCATTTTTGGTTGTGAGAACTGCCTCTTTAAGTCATTGCTCTGTCCGAGCTGACTGAATTGAGGCCTCAAGAATGTTTTTGTGCTCATACATCTTGTCTCCAAGCACATTATACATTTTCTTGAGCTCGTTGTCGACCATCGACTTCATGACGATAATCACCCATTCACGGATGTTGTCAGGGACTTCGCTGGGAGCGGACTGTCTGATTGCATCTTTAAGATGCTCGTACTGGTGCCCCTCATATGACCATGTGGGAGGTATGTAGGCAGGGAGAAGTGATGGTGTTGGGGATGAGGGTCCTCCAACTTGTGATACAGAGTCCTGTGGTGTCAGGACTGGTGATGTTTGTTGTGAGGCTCACGGAGTACTTCCATTGTGCATCTCAATGTTTGATCATAAGATGTCCTCCATTTGCTGCGTGAAGGTAGACATTTGCTGGCGACTAGATTCTGACATTGTGGATGTAAAAGTGTATCTAATACAAAAAGTTCAAGTATCCTTTCTTCTGGATACTGATGAGCGCCTCTGAGATCTCGTTCAACTGCTCCTATTTTCCTATCTGCTTGAAACTAACCCTGCCTATCTCCAGACAGAGCGTGTTTATAACCTGCTTCTCGATGAAGGTGAAAGTTCATGTGCCTGTGTGGAGGTCTGCACAGACCTTGTCTAGCTCTGCTCCCAGTACTTGTATTGGGCTGATTGGAGTTGCTTTGAGATGATCTGAGAAGGCTCCTAGTATGGGCTGGAGCCTGAAGTGGGTACTGTCAACCTGCTTGATGAGGGTCTCAATGTGGAGGGTCGGTCTGATTCTGGATGGGAGAGGACGAATGGGATGTGTGTGTGTGTTCACCTTGATGAAGTTAGGTAGGGGTCGCACTGTCTGTGGAGCTATAATGATGGGAGGAACAGTGTTGCTGGTTATGATCTCTGGAAGAGGTTTCGGCTTGCGACACCAGTGCTGATATGTCCAGGTTTTGGGCAAATGCGCTCAAGTGGTGGAGTTCAACTGTGAGGTCAGTGAATGGTACCTTCGACCTTGATGTGCGTGGTGTCCACAACTCGAGCTGCTGCACGCTGACGATCTGTGGAGGATGCACCTAGTGATGCAAGGGTGAGGAGTTTCCCTCGCTCCTTGTTTGTCAATCGACACTTGTTCCCTGCTTCAGGATCTTCCTTGTGAGCCACCTTGTGCTTTGATGCCTTGGGCTGCTCAGTGTCTTGCTGAAGCTCACACCTGGTAGATATCAGATTGAAATGTGTGTCAAAAAAGCTGCCTGCTATGGCTGAACCTGCTTGCACTGAAAATACGCAGCCGCTAGTGTTGGACACTTAGCAGGGGCACAGAAAATTGTCAGATTGTTTCTAATGTCACAGCAGCACTGGATAAGAGATCAAAAGACTATAAAAGAAATGGTCATGTGGAACGTGCTGCCCTGATCCCCCTGATCCCTAAAGTGGCTGAAGAGCCTAACACTTACTAGCTGTGTAGCAAGCATCTGGAAGTGTGATAGATATATGATGGAGCTGGTAAGCTCAGTGGTCGCTACAGTGGTAGATGAGGAGAAACAATCTGAGGTTTCATCCTCTACATGCTGGTCTTATATACGTGTACAGGTGCTGACTACTATGAGACATGCTATTGGCTATCTACGTACCTATGCAACTAAACTATACATGAAACATTAAGTGGGAAGATCCATCCATAAGTAGAACAATAGGTGAGAAGATCTGTCTTCATCCATGACAATGGTGAGATGATCCATCCTATCATGGTAATGGCTATTCCTTGAGCCAATTGCCTAAACAATCCCTAACAATAGTCCTTGTTCCCTATGTTCCCAAATGGGTGCCTCTATTGTATCCTGGAATAGACTGGTCTGGACATATCATCCGTAGGTCTGAACTGTAACATGTGATGTGGACTATCACCTGATCTCTACATGTCACATCTGTGACTGAGTGACATGAGATATTGATAAAGCACGTGATCTGTGATGTGAGAAAAGTCACGTGTGGACTTTGTGGTGAAAATCCGTGACATGAGTGATGATAGGGAAGAGGCGGAGAACATTTTTGGAAACTGTTTCAGAGGATCGGAAATGTGAGCAAGGATCGGAAACGTCTTCTACCATATTTGAAGGTGCTATTCTACACCTATATAATGACCCATGTACCTACCACAAAACAAGAAGAAAGTTCACCCTTCAGAGTTCAAGTTCTATGCAGTTCTACACTCATCGTCTCAATAGGGCAGCATGCCCTATCCAGTATTACTCATCTACATCTCGACACCACGTCTAGTTAGCTCTCAACATTGTGCAGGATAGCACTCCTCATAGTGGCCCATAGCTTGACTCAAGAAGCACTCAGTATAAGTCATGTTACTGGGTTTTCCTCTCACGCTACCTCATTTCCTTTCTCACACCATCTCATTTTCTTTCTCATGCCATCTATCATGAGCTTTAGCAACTCAAATCTCCATCCCCATCGGACTCTGTAGCCTCAGCAAGCATCCAAGTCTCATCCATAGTGCTGGAGAGCCCTGTATAGATGCCCCGGAGACCTAGGGAGCACCCAAACCCCCTCCGTAGTGCTGGGGAGAGCTGCCTATAGTTCTCACACCACAAGATTGGTCAGCTGAAGATCTGCATCACCGCTCAATCCTCGTTCCTCGACCACCCATCCTGTAGTGACACTCTCTGCCCTACTAGCTGTTCCACATTGTCCACCCTCTTCTCAACTCGACCTGAGTCAGGGACACTCCCCTAGTCAGAATCACCGCTCACCGCTCATTTTAAGCACAATGCCAAATGACTCACAGCCACCTCTCAAGCATTATCAGCTGAAGTTCCTGTGACTGTGGCCCAAGGTGAATGGAGACGGACAGCTCCAATCTGCCTTCCTCGACAGGATAGGAGTAGCTGGCAGCCAGAAAGTGGTTGAGCATATCAACGCATGTCTCCACTCAGCTTTTTTCTGAGGTTTACTGATTATCTTTGTTTAGGCAGGCAGAGAAGCAACATGAGCAAGCGTGCTGGCTAGAGTGGGTGCTCAAACCTGCACTGACACTTATGTTCACAATGACGATGCCCGTGAGAATTGCCATCGGGCTGGCGGTGTTTGGGCCTTGCAAAAGTGAGGGAGGTGCATGCCACCTGTCTTACTATCTTCTTGGTCTCAGTCTGACTCTGTGTTTCACCTCCAGTAAAAGTAATTCTGCTCATGGGCGTGATGTTCATGCTTTTGGTGGGTATGCTCATATATGCGGCATGCGTCGAGATGCTCACAGGTGATTTTGTGCTCGACCTACATCTGTGGCACTCTAGTGTTGGTCGGCAGGCTCTGGCACTGGGTGCACTGATGGCAGATGTGGCTGTGATGGGGGCGGTTGGGTGAGTGAACACATTTATATTAGTGCAGGAGAATTGATGCTGATGCAGATGACGTGGCAGAATCGTTGGAGAGTAGTTCTTGATTGCAGTGGCACGTGCTGTGTGTGAGTGCTCAATCTCTGTTTTCCGTGGATGCTTTATACTGAATGCATGTGTGATCACAGATGGAAGCCCACAGTGGCTGTGCACACATAATGATACCTTATGAATGCAGATACTGCATAATGAAGTTGGATGTGTGCATGATCAGGTTTTTGTATTCTTGGACAGATTATCGCAATGCTATCGGTGTCTTCATTGTTGTGCATTCTCAATCATTTCATTGATGAAAAGTACGTCATTGGCAAGAATGCTTGTGGTGATCGATAGTCAGATAAGGTCTACATGAATTTACTCATTCCCAAATGCTAATGAGAGGCTCTGGCAGCAGAACCAGCAGCCTCTGCTGCTATACTGTGTAATGTGATCAGTGAGCAATCCAACCATGGAAGCAATGACATTTTGCTTGTGCATTATCTGCATTTAAGGAACCCACGTCAACATGGAGATGAGCAGATAGAGCTCGTCCGATGCATCGAAATTTGTGAATGCGACCAGTAGTGGCTTGTACACCTCAGCATGACAGAGGCAGCATCAATGGTTGCATTTGGAGTCATCACTTTCATATTCTCAGAACCTCGGCAGCGTAGGTTCTGCCGCCATGGTGATCGAGCTATAAGGTGAATGCTCTACTTACACTTGTACTTTTCAGGCACTGCAATGGGCTCCATTACTACATCTGGATACTTGTGAGCCTTTATACTATATTTCATGTAGCTCATCTGATAGCACAAACACTACATGCTACCTTGCACAGTTCTACAAGACCCTTTATGTTAATGCCTAGTCTAATGATGCATCATCTATTTACATCTACAAACAGTCACCAAGTTGTGGTCTATGCAGTCAATTACCACCAGCTCCTTCAGCCTGTCTGACTTCACCACCATCCTGAACTATGACACTAACACATTCTACGTGCTGTTGGGTGACTCATCATACTACCTGGACATGGGCACATTGATGACAACAAATTTGAGTGCGTTCTCTTGGGTAGATGTCGAGCAGATCTCCTTACAGATCGAACTATTCGAATCCGATAATGGCATTCACCCACGATCACATTGGCTTCCTAGACAGGGCTGAAGTTAGCGCTGGTGAAACAAAGACTTTTGTTATTCACTGTGAGCCCTTCTTTCTTATATAGATTACCCTGTACTCATCTTATTGTAGACTCATATTTTCAACCCACTGTGCAGGCATATTCATTCTCAAATGGCAGCACTGGTTTCCCTGCAATGCATGAGAAATCAGAGACTTCTTCCAGTTTGAGGACATGCAGCAGGAGTTCACATTTATTCCAGATGATGGCTTGGCAACATCAGTGGTCAACATTGATACATATGCACCGAGATATTCTGTGATCGAAAAATGCCAGAAAATGTGTCCGACTATCGCACAATTAGATAGCGAGTCGCCACGACCCAAAAAGACAAACTCTGAGCTGAAACAGTCCAGAGTAAGCGAAGGAAGGCTTTGTCGACAGCCTGAGAACATGAAACTGCATGAAGGGGTCAGAAGGTGAATGTGAGGCATGAAAATGACAAGCAAGCCACGAAGAAGTGTAGCCAATTACAAGGTGCAGCACGTGAGTGGAATACGACCAGTTAGGCAACTCAAAAATGAGCAAGTGCACTAACTGAATAGAAGACACACGAAGCAACACCGGAGACGTTCAGGTGCATGACAACCAGACCAATGCATTGCTCAGCACTTCAGGAGTCATGGACCAGGACGCATCTGATGCTTGGGCAAATGAAGAAGTGCATGACGTACTGGAAGCAGTTGAACACAGGCTCGGGCTCAACAACTTCCCCCAACATGCTTCTATAGGCCTCCATTTGCTGGCCAGGTCATCGTGTGAGGCTACTGTCATAGATGATATGGAAATGAGAAAGACAGGAAAGACCCAACTCACCAGCTTCTGAGGCACTGAGGCCAGCACGATGCCAGATCACCCTGTGCAGCTGCTCCATGAAATCAACTTAGAGGAACTCCCTCTTGGGTACAGCGCACTCGCAGAATCTCAGATGAGCGATGAGGATGTGGAAGGAGCCAGTGATGATCAAAAAAAATGGGTGGACGGAGCGACATGTTGGGCAGCAAGCGAGGTTGGTAGCATGGAGGTGTGAGCAGAGGAGGGCAATGGTGGTGAGGCAATGAGCGAACAGGGGGACATGAATGAATACGACTCACCAAGAACAACTCGAAGTGACCACTGTCTGTCTCACAATATGCAGCCTTCCAGTGTGCAATCCTACAGCAGCTGTCCAATGATGTGTGAGGTCGCATGCACACCTGAGGGGCTCTCTGACACTGCAGACAAGTGCATCATCGCAACTGGATCAATGGCCAGCGATCCTGTGCGAACACTTGGTGAGATCAACTCAAATGAGGTGCTCACAGGATACACCATGAGCGTGGAGGTTCAAGTGAGTGACAAAACCCAAGAGGTGGCTGGCCACAATCGAGGCAAGTGGATCAACATCACGGTGAATGTTAATGAGGTGGGCAGCGTCAAGGTGCGATGGGTGCCAAGCAAGGAGGAGGAAGCCAGCAGCGTGCATCAGACCATGTGCAAAGCCGAACGTGGAGCAGCACGCGATATGGGACATGGAATAGTGGCAGCAGAAGCGTATTGCACATGTACCAAGGTGGTGACCATAGCGAGATGCAAGGAGCATAGCACCAGTTCGCATGGGCTGCATCAGGCACAGTGTTTCCTGGAAAGCAAGAATGAGTGTGATCCACCATGTATAACTCAACAGCACCCCTTGCTTCCCAGCGCGAAACTCTCCTACTGCAATTCAGTGACTTGTGTGGGTGAGCACATTCTCGAGAGGCTCTCAAATGCTGCAGCCAAGAATGAGACCAGAATGCAGGACGAGGTGAAAGAGGAGCTTGCCGGTCACCGAGACCTCATGGCTGGGATAATGGCCTGCATCCCTGTGCGAACGTGTGGCCAAATCCACTCTGAGAAGCAGCTTACAGTACACAGCACACGCGTGGAGTCCGAAATGAGTGACGGCAGCTGAGAAGCAGTTGGCAATGATCATGGAAAGTATGGCAATGGCACGATGTGTGCGGAGGCATATGAGGTGGGTAGCACTGAGGCACGAGTGGAGGAGAGTGATGAGGATACAATAAGTGAATGCAGAGGCAGACTTGGGCATGACTCACCAAGGATGTCTCAGAGATGCTCCTCATCATGCAACATGTGTTCCCCGGGCTGAATTCTAGTGATGTTCATGGGCACACATGCTCCTGAGGGCCCCTCCAATGCAAGCACTGTGGTTGATGCATTGACAGGTGACTCCAGGTGACTGTATTGCAGTATCAAGTCAAGGGGGCTCATTATCTCGGACAGTGTGCACGCGGAGTTTCCAGCAAGTGACGATATGGGTGCGGCTGGTGACATCTGAGGAGGGCAGAGAAACAGAGTGAAGTGGAGGATGGTGCACGAGGTGGATGAAGATGAGGCATGGACTGGAGTCTGCGATGAGGGGAATAAGATCAGCAAATTTGAGGATGAATGGGCAGCGCAGACAAAGCACAGTACAGCACAACCACTCACTGAGATCGAGTTGAATGGGCTGCTTGTCTTGTACTGTGCACACGTGGGATTTTCATCGAGTGAACGTGATGAAACGGCGGTTGACAATGATCGAGGAGAGCAGATCGATGGTGTGACATTCACGGAGATATGTGACCTGGGTAACATCATGGCACAGATGGAAACGGGCTACAGGATGACACAACCAGTGAACGTGGATGGAAAAATGAAGGTGACTCACCATGCCTGATTTGAAGAGGCCCCTCATCATCCAACGTACGGCTCTCCTATGCTGTTCTGATCATTGTTACAGCTGCACATTCTCCCGGATGAGGCTTCAATGCTGTGGCCAAAGAGATGTGCAGCCATGATCAGAAACAGTTCAAAGATGATCCACCAGTGCAGGTGAACAACAGGATGGGCATGGCGACTCATGGAGTGGGTAGCATTGAGATGTGAATGGAGGTGAGCAGCGAGGGTGTGGTCGAGGAACGAGCGGAGGTGGCCAAAGAGGAGGAAGTCATTAGTGCTTCTGGAGGCAATAATGAGTGCGACTTACCATGGATGCATCAATGGGGCCTCTCACCACTCAGTGTGCATCCCTTCCACTGCGATCCAGCAGCGTTTGCGGCCATGCGTGTTCATAAACAGCACTCCAATACTTTAGCCAAGGGAATTCAGCGATGCCATGGAAAAGAATCAGAACCGCTTGCCTGCGAAAATGCATCAGATGGACTCCCAGTGCTCAACCATGGTTGAAGATGATCCGAGGGCTGTTCACCAGCACATACGCAGCAAGGCTGGTGTAGAGGCATGTGCGATTGGTGCCTTCGAGGTGCAGGCAAAGCTGATGAGAGCAGAGGTGGTGAGCGATGTACGCAGTGCAATGCTAAAGGATGGATGTGGAATGGGGATGAAGGATGTTTCTCGAGCACGCGTTGACATGGCAGATGCATGTCGGGTGCCTCCTGATGCATCGGAGGAGAGGCATGCAGTGTGGGTCTTCTTGTTAACTGGTCTTGGCGATGGTCTCTGTGACAGTTTGCTTCTCCTTTATTCTGGAGGCTCTCTGGTCTCAGCGTGTGATCTTGCAAACCATATCCTAACTGAAGGCTGGCCGTGTGCTGTGGTGACAGACTGTGACCCTGGGCAACTGGTTCGCGAGCTCGATGCCGAGGAAATGACTACCACTTATGGTGCGCTCGCTGAACTCAAGATGATTGGTTGCAGCAGCGAGGCAAGCAGTGATGTTCCCAGATAGCGGATCGATGGCCTGATGTTTGCAGAGGTACGTGGAGTGGATAGCATCATGCGAACAGAGGAGGTGGGTTATGAGGATGATACGGCCAGTGAACGTGGACACAAAAATGAATGCGACTCATCATACCTCATTCAAAAAGGTCCCTCATCATCCAGCGTACAGCCCTTCTGTGATGTCCCAATCATGTTTGTGGTGGCGTGCATTCCCAGATGAGGCTTTGATACTATGGCCAGATCTGCCTGGCTCCCAGCATGCGCACGCGGTCAGAATGAAGCTGAGAATAATGCAACGAAGCAGACAAATTCTAAAGTAGGGATAGGATGGCCCAGGACCAGTTCTGATAATGGGATGATGAATGAGGAGAGCACGAGGGTGGTGAGTGATTTGTGCAGGGCGGTATGCAAGATGAACACAGGGCAAGGACAGAGGATGCTGTTCAAGTGTGTGCTGACATGTCAAACATTCCTGGGGCACATACTGACTTGGCGGAGGCACGTCCGGTGCCACATGAACCTCTGGAAGAGGCTGCCCATAGACTCTCTTCATGCTCGCTGTCTGCTGGTGTGGTGGAAGGTGACTCTGGAGAGTTGGTTGGCAAGATCGACGCCGAGGAATTGACTGTCATGCGCGATGTCTTGTAGAACTCCCGAGGATCAGTGGTGGCTATGCAGCAAGTGATGACATTCAAAGCCAACAGATCAACAGTGCGACGTGCTGTGATTGCGAGTACTCAGCTAGCTGTGAAGGGACAGCAAACAACCGAGTGGGGTGAAGGGGGAACAGTGCGGGGAAGGTCTGCATCTACAGGCGATGCAAGAGCCAAATGTAAAATATGGTGAAGAAGTGAATGAACAAGGCAGCCAATAGACCAGCAGCCATGTAGAGTGTATGGTCCAGGGTGATGTACGCAAGATACGCCTGATAGAATGGTTCCGGGGTGAGTCTAATGACTTCCGAACAGAGTACAGGAATCTCAGGAGGCGGGTGTACTGTCTCTGTGGCAATGTCCCAGTGGTCAGTCAAGCGCATTCGACAGTGAGAGCAAAGATTCTGATTAGATCATGAAGTAGAAGCAGTAGGTTGTGGAGGAGGAGGGAGACCGCTGTCTCTGTGCACTGCTGTGTAAGCCTCTTCACATACTCTAGCTCGTAGATACGCCGTCTGAGGTCCTCCCTCCAACTACCTACCTATGCTACCCTTTTATACTATGCCCTCAGGGCACATTTGCCTGAGACTCAATTGCACATCAGACCACGCCTGGTCCTGTAACTCGTTCCCTTGCTTCGCTCGTCTCGTTCCAAATCCCTTGGAGGGCCTGCCGCTGCAGACCACCCCATCGCGTCTCGTTCCGAATTTCTTGGAGGGCCTGCCACTGTGGACCACTCCATTGTGTCTCATTCTGAGTTCCTTGGAGGGCCTGCCACTGCAGACCACTCCATCGTGTCTCGTTCCAAATCCCTTGACTTCCACTCACCCGTGTTGTCCTCCGCTCACTGCACTCCCCAAGAGCCCGCCCCAGCGGTCATCCCATATCACAGAAGTCCCCTTGTCCCCGTCCCGAAGGTACCCCATCCGCTCTTTGAACACCTCGCCCGTGCTGCCTCAACGGTTTCACCTGTTTCTTGGCCCATGTTCGTACGCTGGGTTTTCCTGGAATCATCTCAGATGTGGTCTCCCGTTGGCACCTCATCCGGTCCACAGCTGCGGGCCTTGGACACATCCACATCTCAACCCACCCACTCCTTCTCGTCCCCTCCCAGTCGTTGCCACTCTTCACCCTATTTCCATCTTGCCATGTCTCACACACCAGATGGCATCTCTGGTGAACAGCAATCCACCTACACTCTGCACATACATCAATACCTTCTGCTGCTTGAGGCCCTGTCCGTGGAACACGTACATGTTCCGTCTGGTTCGCATCCCGCTGTGGTTGAGTGGAATGAATGGTGCCACCGAGTCTGATCCCTCCTGATACATGTCCTATGTCCTCTTTTTCTCCTCCATTTGGATTGACCCATAGCTTCAGGAACTCGCTGACACTGCCTGCACCGCGCTCACCCGGACTGGAATGCAAGTGCCACTGACTGACTCCTTCGAGTGGGTCAGCAATCTCCGTGTCCTCACTGCCTTCCCCTTGTCACATGATCACAGTTTGAGGTCCCCCTTTATGGTTGAGGATCTCTTCTCGGATCCTCGATTGCAGCAGCACTTGCTTGAGGCACTCGGCCGAAGATCGTTGCGCCCTGAGGTTGACTCATCTGAAGCTTCCACCCCCCTTTCGCTCCAACATGGCCAGCCTTCTGCTGTGCCATACACCTCCATGCCTGTAGAAGCTGGTGATGATCCGGACCATACGCTGCACCCGGAGGACTTTTCTGGAGGCAACAGTCAGTTCTGAGGTCGCGTCCCGAGGTTTGGAGGGCCCTGTCCGTGTAGACGATATGTAGCACAGACTCGACGTACCTGTCCTGCCCTGAACGCAATGTACCTGTTCTGCTTCGAGCTTGCTGTCAAATGTTAGGGAGAGCAATTATAGTGAGGGCAGCCAAGCTGGCCACCTCACATCCCCTCCACACTCAAATATCGATCGTCCCCAGTCAACGTCACAATCTCCCGATGCAAGGTGCCATGTGATGGTTGCAGGCTCTGGCAGGTACCATGAAGCCCAAGTCAGGGAGCGGCTGAATCTTGTCCAGAACATGCAGTGCCTGGCCCACACAGCCAGTAGCCGGACGGCCCTCGAGCTATCACGCACGTCACATCCCGTGACCCAGAGATGGTTTCGCGAGAGTTTCCATCAGCGGTTGAAACCCCACAGCGTGTCCGTGACCCACTCCATCGAGTTCAACAAGGAGTGTGGCCAAGAACACCCACACCCTTTTGCTCCCCCTCTGCTTTCGCCCCACTCTCCTCACACTCCGTTGCTATGTCATCGAATACTGCTCCTTGCCCCACGGCCAATACAGCTGCCAACGACACTGCCCTTGCCGAAGCTGCCGACCAGCACATTATCTGAACAGTGCACAATCTGGCCACCGCTATTCACCTCGAGTATGCAGGGTTCCCAGAGTGGAGGATGCCCCTGGCACCAAGTCTGCTCATGGAGTACTGAGCCATGACCGAGTGGCTTGCTCCACTGATTGTGAGTGACAGGTCACACTCGGGGCATTGCCACCGCTGATCTGCCACTACAGTGTCACCTTCGCACCATTGAGCAAATTGCCAAGGCCTGCCAGACACCTCTGCCTTGGATGTGGCAACACATGGAGGTCATCTACTCCATCACCATTGGCCACTTGCAGGGGCTCGGCCAGCATGGCAAGGAGCTTCCACAGTCCCTTGAGTGGATCAATGACATGCTCCCCCTGACCGTGGCCGAGGAGCACTTTTTCTTGCATGCAGTAGAGTTGATCACGCATGCTCCCCAGCCCATCATCCATTACTGGGCAGGGAAGACCATTCCCATGAATCTCCTCTGCATCATATGGCAGAACTTCATCTCCCAGTACCCGAATCCTCCCCCTGCACTGCTAACTGCACCACCCACCCCACCACCAATGTCAACAGCCCCTGATTCAAACACTTTTGCTGGCCCACCTCCCACTCGGCACGACGAGGGGCTTCTGCCTCAAGGAAGGGCAATGGTGACTCAGCCTGCATGCAGCACAGGTCCCATAGAGCTGAGCAGCAGCACGCTCAGGTTGCACTCATTGTGGATGCCCCAGAACCCTGCTCTGGTGAGTCCTTCTCGGTACAGAGAAGCCCATGCTAACCACCAGCCACAGCGCAAACTTGCAGAAGCAGTCACACTTCGGGTTGAGGAACTGCCTGTTGGCATGTGTGGAGTCTCTGTGCTGGACAAGACCTACTCGCTGAGGGGTAGCCCTGCATGCTCTGACAAGGAGTCAGAGGAGAGTGACCAATGGGCCCCACATGTGCTGCCCAACCTGAGCCCCATGCCACGACTCCGTCCAAGGTGCCAACTCCCCACGCTGCAACGTGCCCCTGGTGCCCAACCCACTGCCATTCAGCTAGCAGCCCCACGCATGTCTGACCCGATCACCATGGCCCAGTGCATGTTGACTCACGCTGCTGTCGAGGGGGCAACCGCTCCGTCTTCGATGTCATGCACAGCAGTCCCTGCTCAGTCGTCCCAAGTCACTGCACCTACTGCTCGACCAGCCCAAGTCACCACGCCCGTCGCTCGCCCCCCCACCTCTGACATTTGCAGATCATCTCACCTCCCACCCCCACCTGTTGTTGTGATACCTATCACGATGGGCGCACCACACAAATGCATCGAGATCAATCCCCTGACACACACGCCCACCGCCACATATGCTGAAGTGTGGCACGCAGATGACCTGTGCGCTCCTTGTCGCCAGGACCAGATCTCCTGCTGGTGGGATGCATGTGGTCACACTTGTCAGCGGTGTGCCAGAGCACGTGCCAAGTGTCCCTTGGCATTCAAGAATGACGTGCCCAATCTACCCCGTAAGTGGTTCCCTCCCCCATTCTTGTTCTCAGTCTGCCTCGATACTAAAGACAGTTATCCTGCAACCACTTCGACATACCTGGGCATCACTGGGGCCACCCCGGGCCTTGTCATTTTGATGGGATGGCCACTGTATGGCCCAGATCTGACCACGTGTGGAGAGCTACCCGAGGCCTTGGACCCCGAGATCCACCACCCGGATGTGTACATTGACGAGCTGCCCACCGCCCGCAAATGAGGTCACAGCACCAAGGGTGGCTCACCCCCAAAGAAGTGCACTCGCACTTGCACCCCATCACCACTGCCTGCCCTGACCATCGTATGAGCTGGCTCGTCCGACCGCTCATCTTCTGGCAAGGAAGCGGAACCCTCGAGGGTTCTGATTGCAGCGCCAGAGCCTGGACCATCTGTGCCCTCCTGCAGGTGCACGAAGAAAGAACACGGGGATATGCATCGCGCATGCACCCGGACGCCATCCATCTACAATGATGCCCCTCTGTCTGCCCCACCGTCCAGCGCCTCTGGGCCGATAAGTGAGCATGTACTGTCACTGATCACTGATTCCGCCAGTGGTGAAGAAACCTCCCAGACTCAAAGCACCATTTCCCCCAGCCCAAGTGCGAAGGCACTCGGCAAGTGCAGGGCTGTCAACGTGTCCAATGAGGAGGGCAAGGTCGAGAACGTGCTGGGCCCCACAGTGGAGTAGGCAATGGTGTGACTTGGTAGGTTGGTCATCGTGCATGGGCACAAAGTATGTTCGCTTCTCTAGCTTTTTGTGTTGCTACATCCTGTCACCCCGCCCGCTTGTCCCGTCTCACCATCCGCATGCATATCTCTGAACTATCCTGTAAAACACATACCGGAATAGATGCTTTTCGCCAAGGTCCCGCATGCGCTCAGGGCACTCTGACCTGCCCCGATTAAAAGGCCCACCCAGAGCGGCTGCCACAGCCCAGTGGTCACGTGCCTCGGGTGGCCCAGCTAAAAATGAGCCAAAGTCTCGCAGACACTCTACCCATTTGTCCCACAGGGAGGAGCCACCATGAAAGATCTTCCCTCGGTGTTCCTGTGTGCTCATCCCCACCTGGCTGTGTTAGTGGACCGCTTCACTGCGTCGACTGCAGTCTGTCTTCTGGAGGGCCGGGATGAGTTTTTGTCACATCTGCACATGTTAGAAGCCCAGTGGGTATGCACCAGCATGTTGCCCTCCCCATAGTATGATTGCTGACCTCATCCGATAGTTGGATTTGCAGGACTATATCTCCATCGAGACATCCATGGGGAGCTCAATGCCCTCTCTGCTCAGTTGGTCGACACTCCGGCAACCCCTCGCCCGCTTTAGTGTGTGGAGAGTCTGTGGTGAAGAGTACAGCTGTCCGCACGCTGATTCTCAGTTTGAGAGCCACTTCCTCAGTCCTGGGCCCACCCCGGTGAGGATTACGCTCCCCGATGCCAATCCTTCCCTGGCACCGTTGGCCGGCGAGACCGCTTCTGCTCCATCCATCTCATCCCCGTTCCTGGTTGCCCTTGCTGCATCCAATACCCCTGTCCACACTGTTCCAGAGCTCATCCACCAGATATCCACCATGGAGGATGTCTTGGTGGCTACATTCAACGGCTTGTAGGTCAGGTACAAACACGTTTTCGATCACGCCTGTACAGCTATTAAAGAGAGCTTAACTCAGGATATTGAGTCATCGGTCCATAGTGCAGTGGAGGAGGAGGCCATTGACTTGAAGGCTGAACTCCGTAGCTCCATTCATCATGACCGTGTCACCCTTCTCACCCTTATTCACGATCTCCAGATGGTGTCCCTTCCGAACACCAAGTTTGGCTTTGCCCTTGCCCGCCTTTCCCGTGCATTCACCGAATCCCTCGAACAGCATGAGAACCTCCAAGACGAGCTCTCTATTCTCATGAGCAGCCCCCAATTCCTGCTCCTCATTGCATCTGCGTTGGACATGGCCCAAAACTTCGACTACAGCTCCCTTGCGCAGACCCTCCAGGAGGCCACCTAATTCTCATCGGATGAGGTCTCCTTCCTTCCAGACAATGGCTCTGCTTCCCATTCCCATTCGATCATGTCCAGATCTTCCTGTACCTCCCCCGGTTCCTGATGTATCACATCCTGTAGCGATACCTGTGCATCCATCCACGATTTGTATGGAATGACCCTAAAAGCCGCATAGCGATGCTTTGAAATAGAACCATCCAACTCAGCCAGAATGTATGAACCTCCCATATTGCGTCAGACCATGACCATCGGCCTGACATAGCACAGCTTCAACTTCCGGTTATGGTCAGTTTCGAATTGCGAGTTCCGTACCAGTACCAGGTCGCCCGCCTTGAACTTAAACTCACGGATCGTGTTCTTGAATGCTTTCTCAACCTGCTTGATTGACTTGAACCACGTGGCCCGAACCCGTCTCCTGACCTCTTGCAGGTCCTCTTGCCTCTTGAGTAGCTGCCATGCCCGTACTGCCAGTAGCTGCTCCATCGACATCAGCTCATCTGTGGCTGGAGAGAGGTACGTAGCTTCTGCGAGGTCGAACGGAAATACTGGCTCCACCCCATGGACCATGAAATACGGAGACCATCCAGTACTCTTCTGAATCGAGACCCTTTCCGCCCAGAAGACAGCATGTATGACCTTCGGCCAATCTGTCGCATTCCCTTCACCACAAACCTTCATGGCCGCTTCCCGAACATCGAAGTGCCACTGTTCCACGATACCGTTTGCTTGAAAATTGTACGCTGAGATCTGGATGTGCGTGATCCCGTATTGTTTGCAGAGGTGCTCCAGGGCTGCAACAAATGGTGCCCCGTTGTCCGTGACTATCTCTGTGACTGCTCTCCACTGACAAAGCACTTTCTCGAATAAGAACGTTCTGAGAGTCTTTCCGGTTTCTTACCGCAACATCCTCCACTCGGGCCAGGACGAGAGCGCGCACTGAGCCTGTACAATGTGCACGTATCCACCCGCTTTAGGCATATGCATTGAATCCACATGTAGCTTCTGGAACAGCCCCAACACATGCACCATCGGAGGGGGTACATGGTACTTGTACATTTTCTGGAGCTGGCATTCATGACAGATTTGAACGTACCATTTGACATCCTGGTCAAGGTACGGCCACCAGAACTGCTCCAGCAACCTGGTCTGGATGATAAAGATACCTTTGTGTCCTAGCTCATCATGAGCTGTCCATAGTAACACATAATGGTGAGCCTGGTCCGGGACCCGCTTGTGTCATCCCTGAGCATCCCTCCACCATAGCCGACCTTTCCGTATGAAAAATCGCGCCACCTCACGGACAAACCTGTCGAACTCCTTCTCATTCAGTTCGTCCGGTTTCTGTGAGTCTTGAAGGAAGTGCTGGATTTTCTTCACCCACTCATCTGCCTGCTGAGCTTTTGACATATGGGAATATCTACATTTGCGACTGCCTCAGATGAGTGTACTGACATGGTGCCCATCATATCTTCCCTGCACGTGCTGTACTGGCCCTGAAGGACCGTCGTTGGGCTGAGGTTGGCCCATTCCACTGTGAATGCACACGCTTCATCGATCCACTCTTCGAAGTCATCTGGTTCGGGCTCATCTTCAACCGTCCCAGGTTATCGCGAGAGCCCATCCGCCGCTCCGTGTCACGCCGCCGGAACATGTACCAGGTTGAAGTCAAAAAGGAGTATCCCAGCTATCCAGTGGTTGATGGTCACATTCAGTTGAATGTCCAGGTTGTTGAGCATCCCTTTGACATATTTGGCGTCTACCTCCACGTCAAATGTCTTAAGCCTGATCAGATATATCCGGTATGCTCGCAGCACCCTAAATAGTCCGAGTAGCTCTATCTTTGCCTGAGAGTACCGTGATTCTCGCTCGTTCCAGGTAATCGACCCGAAGTGGCTCGGACACTGTCATTTCTGCGTGTCTATCTGAAACAAGATGAACCCTACCGCTATGACTGACAAATTGACTGCAAGGATGACCTTTTCTTCCGAAGTATAGCTGATCAGGGCGAGAGCTCCTGAATTCATGACCGTGTCCTTGAGTGTCTGCATAGCCCAGGCATGCTCGTCCCTCTACTCAAAGTCCACCTCCTTCTTGAGCAGGGTGGTAAGAGGCTTCACAAGCTTCGCAAAGTTTTTCACAAAGATCCATACGAGCCCACACATCCCCAGAAACCCCCTCACCTGCGAGATCGTCTCGCACTGTGGCCAGTCCCAAATTTTCTGCACTCAGGCTTCGTCTGGAAGCCATCCTACGTACGTACAGTGGTGCCTGACAATGACCACTTTCGGGACGCATAGGTAAGCCTTTTTGCCCAAAAAGGTTCCTCCAAAACGTTTCATCTGATGTATGACCCGGTTCATATTTTGGAAGTGCTCCCATACGAACTGCCGGATCCCTGGGTTCTCAGAAATAGTCTCATACCTGCCCTCCGGAAGCTCATAACATGTCGCTGGCCCCTTCACTGGTACATTGTCGACAAAAGGAACAGTGACCTCTGGTATCTCATCCTGCAGAATATGTGTCACATCGCCATGCATGATTTGCATTGAATTGGTATAGCCCATCAGAATCGAGGTAAGCCAGAGAGACCCTAGTGGAGTCTGGAAGGAGGTCAGGTCATGCGACCGCCAGTTCAAGGTCTGCTGGTTGAAAGCAACAAATAGGTCCAGGCTTCCATAGCATCCACGAGCTCTGAAGGATTTCACCAGATGCTCCACCATCAGAGGGACCACTGAATCTTTAATCACTATCCCGTTCAACGTCTGTAGGTCGTGAACCAACCGGAGCGACTTTCCATCCTTCTTGACAACGCAGAACCACCTTGACCGATACGATGAGTTCGATCCCTCATAAACCTCTGAGTCGATCTTGTCCTTGATAATCTGTACCACTTGTTCGAATATTCCCGGTGTTATCAGCATGTTTTTGAGCACCTACGGGATGTGTTCCACCGTCAGAATGACTACCAGGTCGAAGTACTCATTCTGAAACTGCCCCTTTTCCGTTTCGTCCCATGCAAATGCCATGTCATGTGCGCACATTAAGAAATCTGTGAGCTTCACCTCCTCCGGCCAGAGGAAACCATCACCCGTGACATTAAGTGTATCGTGCCTCTCTCGTGTGTACCTCCCTTGAGGCTCGAATTCGGGCAGCTGGACCAGTAGGGTTGGAAGCCCCTCTAGCGGGTTGAGCAGTTTCCTTCGCACAATTTGGAACCCTTCTGGTAATGTGGTCACCATGGGCTTGACCCAGTTGGCCACCTTCTTGTAGGTGAATATTTCTGTCTTTTGCCTTTCGACCGTGACCTGCCCCACCTTCCCGTGACTCCATACTCTCATCTCCTCAGTTCAAAACCCAGTCCGAAGATCCATGCGCTCACGTCCCACGTCATACAGCAAAGAAAAATGTATTTCAGATTCGGTGACTTTACATGGGACACAAGATGATGTGGAACTAACGGATGCAGTTTCGGACTGTACCTGGCTCTTTTCTGTACACGCCTTCTTCTTCTCGGGGCGTGTCTCTTCTATGGATCTGCCTATCCTTCCCTCCGGACTCTGTTGAACAGTCCATGGCAGTGTGAGCACATACATGGAATACAATCCTAATATCGCATCTCCTCGAGCTACACCCAATTCATCGACCCATGAAAACCCACAAGGTTTGGATCGACCTCTCGCTGCACGGTCCACACTTTTGTTGGTACCACGACCCGTTCCCCTGAGTGTGGGTCTGTAATTGTGATTTGCTGCTCTCCAGAGGCAAAGTCTCTAGTCTCACACACCGCTGTAGCAAAGAACGGCCACCCTAAGAGGATTTCGAATGACATATGGTGCATCACCTGAACTTGTACCGCAATGATGACTGAGCTGAACTGGAGCTGAACACACGGAAGCTTTCTGACTGTCTTCATTACCGAGGTGTTCGCAGTCTCGAGCAGGATTGCTCCATCTGGGTTGAGTGGGGCTCTGAGGTCTTTCCAGACGTCCTCCTGCATGACGCATATCTGCACGCCCTGGTCCAGAATACATTCGCACTGAAGTGTGTCCTTGATGATTGGCTCGACAACCCAGAGCGGGAGCGACCCCTTTGTTGGCAACATTGTCTTGGATGCCGTCAGAAACACACTCTTCTCGCCCGCTCCGGCTTCATCCTCATCCGTGACTTCTTTGACCCAAGCAGTCATTGCGACTCGCTTCAGGGTGATCAGCTCTTTGAGGTGTTTCTGCAGTTCTGGAGTGTGTTGTATGAGCTCTCTGATAGTGACCATTACGGGCAGATCGAGTATCTTCCTGACTATTCCAGGGATGTTCTTCTTGTCTTCGATCGGGGTGCGATACCCATAGGTGGACTGTGAGGCCAGAACCCCCCTGGAAGTGAACTCACTTTGATTCCGGGTGGCCCCTTCTGCACTCCGCGCCCTTCCCCGGACACAACCTTATCCTTTCCAGGCTTGCCACTGACCACCTCAACCCTGTCGAAGTGTACCCTTCATCGGGCATTGTCTATCACCTGAAAGACATGCTCTGTTCTGTCCATGACCCGTGACTCATCGATGACTGCCATGTTGACCTTGCGCACTTCCTCGAGTATATTGACTTGGTGCGGTGGCTTGTCCCTTGATTGCGGAGTCGCAGCGGACTGCACCGCTCCCGGAACAGATGATCCGAGGTGCTGGGAGTACCAGGAGTTGACCCGATCCCACATGTTGTTTCCAGGGAGCGCCCTCAGAACGTACCCCCCATCGGGCAGTCGGATGCGACCATTCTTGTCACGGTACACCTTTCCGGCCTTGATGTCTTTGTCCACATGGGGGCAACAGCTCATGAAGTGGTCCAGTCCATCGCAGTAGTTGCAGTTGCAGTTCATGGGGTAGACCGTCATGTTTCCTGGGGCACCTGCCATGGCCCTAGCTGCTGACGTCGTTGCTGGTCCTTGTGGTGCATAACTTTCCCAGCATCCCTGACCACCTGCAGTAGACTGAGCTTGGCTCTGTAAGAAGCTTGTGAGGCGTTCCACTGACTTTTGCAGGTCCACAATTTCACCAGACTCCTGTTTGATCACCGTAGCAGTCACCCCAGAAACTGTTCCTCCGATGGTAGTATTCGCAGATTGTCCTATGGTGGGGGCAGCCGGAGTGACTCCCGGACCGCTCGTACTTGCCCTGCCTCTAAGGATACCATAGCTACCTCCAACTAAACCTCCTCCTGCCAGAGTTTTCTAGGCTGCGTCGTGAATGTTGTTCATGCTCCATGGATCATCTGGATGATGGTTCGGGTGCAGGATCTCGCACCGGAGCAGAATGGTTGCTTTTTTGGTCGGGTGGAATCCCCTGACATATTGCTCATCCTGGGCCGCGGGCGATACTCATCCCATCCAGATTAGGTAGTTCGCTATTGGGGCAAATTCGTGGAAGTAGATAGCTTCTTTGGCCCAAGTGTGAATACCCTGGGCAAGTGCTTCATAGATGCACTGTTCTAGGTCAGCAATGATGTAGAGTCAATCGCCCTCTGCTCTGGGGTACAACTCAAAGATCTGCTGTCTGAACATCATGTAGTCAGCCGTTGCCGCTGCGGAGACCATAGACCACAGCTCCTCTTGTTATACAGTAAGATAGTGCAGTGCATAGTGAACCTTTTGTGCACCTGTGAGCCCGGCCTGTATTGCCAGCTCATCTAGGTCATCGAAGTATCACTGCAGCTTTCGAGGTTCTCCATTGAACATTGGCATGGTCTTCTATTCCTGGGCCGGCATCAAGAAACCTCTTTCCGGAGCCTGTCCTGGTCCTTGTCCCCTGCCTTGTCCTGGTCCTGATCCGCTGCCGCCACCTCCTGATCCTCCCAGTCCCCCTGGTCTGCCTGTTCCACCTCCTCCTCCGCCTCCTCCACCGCTGCCCGATCTGCCCCCGTATCTGCCACCAAGTCCACTTGATCTGCTCAGGCCACCACCCGGGTTCCTGCCCAGTCTGCCTCCTTCTCCACCACTGCCACCGCTGCCCCCGCTGCCTCCATGGAACCCTCCGTTACCTGGACCAGATCCTCCACTGTGCCCTGCCGTGATGAAGATCGGTATCTGCGAGGCGAACACTGATCGAGTCCCAGTTATGAGCTCCAAGGGTCGCTGAATGGTGACTGTCAGGGCCATCCCACCTGATGCTCCTTTGGGCGTGTATGAGAGTGTATGCTTACGTTTTCGTACTTCAGACGGGGTCGTTACTGTTTCCCTTGGTACCGCGAAGTGCCCGGGGAGAATCGCAGAGAGGTCTCGTAGTATGGAATCTTCTTGCCGTGCTATGTCTGTCGTGTCATCATAAGTCGACAGTTCATATTCGTCCACTCCTGCTGTCGTGCTGTTGATCGGGATTTCGGAGTACAGATTTTCAGTAGTTGCTCTGAGGTCAGACACAGTTTCGGTCACGGTCTCGATCGCCTCCTCGAAAATTTTGTCTGAGATGCTTGGCACTGCTGAGAGTGTTGACAAAGCTGAAATGTCCACATCTGGAGAGTCTGTTCTGCTGGACGCTCTTTCCTTGGTGAGGGCTTGGGCTGCCCAGACTTGGCTTCAGGTCTTCACCTTCCTAAACTTTTCCCTCCTTGTGGTGGGCTCCAGAAAATGTGATTGCGAGTACTCAGCTAGCTGTGAAAGGACAGCAAACAACTGAGTGGGGTGAAGGGGGAACAGTGCAGGGAAGGTCTGTGTCTACAGGCGACGCAAGAGCCAAATGTAAAATATGGTAAAGAAGTGAATGAACAAGGCAGCCAATAGACCAGCAGCCACGTAGAGTGTACGGGCCGAGGTGATGTACATGAGATACGTCTGATAGAACAGTTCCGGAGTGAGTCTAATGATTTCCGGACGGAGTACAGGAATCTCGGAAGGTGGGCATACTGTCTCTGTGGCAATGTCCCGGTGGTCGGTCAAGCACGTTCGACAGCGAGAGCAAAGATTCTGATTAGATCATGAAGTAGAAGCAGTAGGTTGTGGAGGAGAGGGAGACCACTGCCTCTGTGCACCGCTGTGCAAGCCTCTTCACATACTCTAGCTCGTAGATATGCCGTCCGAGGTCCTCCCTCCAACTACCTACCTATGCTACCCTTTTATACTATGCTCTCAGGGCACATTTGCCTGAGACTCAATCGCACATCAGACCACACCTGGTCCTGTAACTCGTTCCCTCGCTTTGCTCGTCTCGTTCCAAATCCCTTGGAGGGCCTGCCGCTGCAGACCACCCCATTGTGTCTCGTTCTGAATCTCTTGGAGGGCCTGCCACTGCGGACCACTTCATTGCATCTCATTCCAAATTCCTTGACTTCCACTCACCCATGTCACCCTCCACTCACTGCACTCTCCAAGAGCCTGCCCCAGTGATCATCCCGTATCACAGAAGTCCTCTTGTCCCCATCCCAAAGGTACACCGTCTGCTCTTCGGACACCCCTCCTATGCTGCCCTAACAGTTTCACCTGTTTCTTGGCCCGTGTTCATACACTGGGTTGTTCTGGAATCATCTCAAATGCAGTCTCCCATTGGCACCTCATCCGGTCCACAGCTGTGGGCCTCGGACATGTCCACATCTCAACCTGCCTGCTCCTTCTTGTCCCCTCCCAGCTGTTGCCACTCTTCACCCTATTCCCATCTTGCCATGTCTCACACACCAGATGGCATCCCTGGCAAACAGCGATCTGCCTACACCCTGTGCATACATTGATACCTTCTGCTGCTTGAGGCCCTGTCCGTGGAACGTGTATATGTTCCGTCCAGTTCACGTCTCGCTGTGGTCGAGTGGAATGAATGGTGCCACCGAGTCTGATCCCTCCTGGTACGTGTCCTATGTCCTCTTTTTCTCCTCCATTTGGATTGACCTGTAGCTTCAGGAACTCGCTGACACTGCCCGCACCGTGCTCACCTGGACTGGAATGCAAGTGCCACTGATCGACTCCTTCGAGTGGGTCAGCGATCTCCGTGTCCTCACTGCCTTCCCCTTGTCACATGATCACAGTTCGAGGTCCCCCTTTACAGTTGGGGATCTCTTCTCGGATCCTCGATTGCAGCAGCACTTGCTTGAGGCATTCGGCCAAAGATCGTTGTGCCCTGAGGTTGACTCGTCCGAAGCTTCTGCCCCTCTTTCGCTCCAACATGGCCAGCCTTCCGCTGTGCCATACACGTCCATGCCTGTAGAAGCTGGTGATGATCTGGACCATATGCTGCACTGAAGGACTTTTCTGGAGGTGACGGTCAGTTCTGAGGTCGTGTCCTGAGGTTCGGAGGGCCCTGTCCGTGTAGACGATCTGTAGCACAGACTCGATGTACCTGTCCCGCCCCGAACGCAATGTACCTGTTCCGCTTTGAGCTTGCTGTCAAATGTTAGGGAGTGCAATTATAGTGAGGGCAGCCATGCTGGCCACCTCACAGCACATGAAGGTCCTCATGAAGGGTCACATCAGAGCATGAGCGAAGGTGACCCATCACGAGGAGGTCATCAGTGAACAAGCCGGTAGAGATGCGTTTGACTCACTGCAAGTGACTCAATGAGAGCTCTCCTTACCCAATGTGTCAGCCTCCTATCGTGATTCAGTAGCATTTATGACTGTGGATGCATCTGAATGGTGACCAGATGCTGTGATCAAGGAAGATAAGTGAACACGGGGAGAAGAGTTGATGCAATGTACCGGGGAGGATGGATCTGCCAGACTACCAGCACGTGCATGCAGTCAGAATGTAGCCGAGCACCATTTGGGGGTGCAGTCAAATGCTGAGGTGTGGATGGAGCTGTGTGGATGGAGCTGCTCGAAGTGGGTATCATCGAGAGACAGATCAACACAGGCCATGGAGATATGGTGGGTGACATCAGTGGCAGGGCACGCAAGGACAACCATGAGGTGAGGGCAGAGGATGTTGCTCCGTGTGTGCTGATGCAACAGGTGTCTCTTAGGCATGTACTGACATGGCGAGTGCACATCGGGTGCCTTGCAATATGTCAGAGGATGTGCATGTGGTGCGAACTCCCCTATCGACCGATTCTTGGAATTGCTCAGCTCTGCCCTTTTTGGAGTGTTATCAGGTCTCGGGCTGTACCTCTTCTGGCTCTGGAGCTGGTCATCTCCATGCTGAGACTGGCGAACGGTATCTGCACGACTCATTGAGCTTGAACAGTGCACGATCAAATGCACCCAGAGAGAGTGTTGCACTGTGAGGTAGCATTCCGGGCTGCCCCCACACAGAATGAATTATCTCGGATGAGCTACACAAAGCGAACAAGCATGGCTTCAGAATGAGTTCTCTGAGACAGGTACATGGCGCATCAGACTCTGGGTGAAGTATACAGTGTGGGGCAGCTACTAGCTCAGGAGAAGTGACATCTCGAGGCAGCACCATACATTCCTACGCTACGGGATGACTACACAACACGTGATGCTCATCCACGGTGAACCAGCACACACACGGGATCTCATAGCAGAACTGACCACCAAAGTCCTTGAGGCACAGCATGTGGTCAGGATCGTCCTCTGGGGTGATGGCGGGGCGAGTCCTGCTGGTCGGAGCATGGTCAGGGATTGGCAAAGAGTTGACAAGTATACACAGTTCATGGACCCATGGGTAGGAGTCAATCGAGTGAACGTGCAACCTGGACTCCACAAGGTCCGAATGAGCAGACGCCGCCCAATGCTACAAGGAGACCTCAGACTGGCACGTGCAAGGAAGGAGGTCGATAGACATACCAAAAGCGACCAGACTGCAGTGCACCAGTGATACCACTCCATCACAGTGGGATGTGACTCAGACGGGATATGGGCATGCTCGAACGCCAGCACCTCGAGCAAGAGGAGGTAACGATGGAGCCGGGTGGTGCAAGTGACAGCTAGAGAATCAAACTGTGATTGCGTGGTGCGAGACATGGCTGAGTGGGAGGAGAGAGGGGGAAGAGGGGCCAGGACAGGCAGAGAACTGAACACGGACAGAGTCCCGGGGCAGGTGCTCAGACTCTAGGGGGCAAAGCCGACGGAGAGCCGTTGGAGGAGGTAACCAGTCTCGGCCAGAGGGGTAAGGGCAGATTAGGGCAGGAGTGAACCATCGGGGTGGTGAGGTGGGCGAATGGGAATGCGATTACGATGCTGCGGAGGAAGTCAGCAGGACGAGACATGGTGGAGGACGAGCATTGGGGTGGGAAACCGGGAACTGGAGCGAGTGGGTCTCTGCAGAAATGAATAGCAAAATGCAGGTTTGGAATGCGATGCGATGGAGTGGCCAGCAGCGATGGGCTCTCCGAGAAACGAGGGATAGTGGAACAAGTCAACGAGTTAGGGGCCAAGCATAGTCGGATATGGGAGCCAGGACCGGGGTAAGTGCACCTCGAGTTTGCAATATTTAAAGAATGTGTAGACAGAGATAGGGGGAGGACTTTCAGACCATGTACCTAGGCGATAGAGAATGTGAACGAACTTGCACAGCAGCGGACAACAACAGGGACAGCGGTCTCAGTTCTTCTCTCAAGCTTCGGGCTCTACCACACATCAGAATTCTCATCTTTGCTCTAACTGTTGAATGAATCTTGCGAACCAGCAGAGCGCATCAGCGGACACAGTACGCCCTCATCCCGAGACCCCTATATTCTGTCCGGAGCCAGTTAGACTTGCCCCGGAGCTGTTCTATTTCTCGTACTTTATGTACATCACACTGGACTGTGTCCTTCACGGTCTCGCTGTCTTCATGGGCATCACCTTCATTCATTTCTCCACTATCTTCTACATTTGGCTTCTGTGTCACCTCTAGATGCAAACCTTCCGTGCACTGTTCCCCCTTCATCCCTCTCAGTTGTTTGCTGTCATTTCGCAGCTAGCCGAGTACTTGCAATCACATTTTCTGGAGCCCACCGCGAGGGGGAAAAAGTTTCAAAAAGTGAAGACCAGAAGCCAAGTCAGGGTGGCCCAAGCCCTTGCCAAGGAGAAGTGACAGGAGCAGTCGAACCCGCCGGACATAGAGATTTCAAATTCATTGGTTTCCTCGGTGATGCCCAGCCTTTCCTACAAAAATTTAGAGACAGTCATCGAGACCGTGTCCGAACCTGCATCGAGCACGGACAAATTGTTTCCGGAGATTTTGACCAGTGGGCGAGACAACGAGGCAGAGGAGTACGAGCTTTCAATGTACGATGATGCAACGGACGCAGCCCAGAATGAGGACTCTATTCTCCATGATCTTTCAGCAATCCTTCCCAGTCACTTCTCCATTACAAGGGAAGTGAGGCAGAACCCTTCTGAGATAGAGAAGCAAAAGCACACCATGGCCTACTCTGGTACACCAACTCTTACCGAAATGGGGTCGACGACTACGATTCAGACTCCTGTGCAGACGGGTTCCATAGCCCTGTCTGAATATGCGTCCCGGATTCCAGTATTATCAGTGACGGAACACACTGCAGTGCCTGGCAACATGGGGGGTACTCGGGAGGAGGTGGAGGAGGCAGAGGAGGCAGAGGAGGCAGAGGTAGTGATGGAGGAACAGGACAGGGGAGTAATACAGGAAGAGGGTTTAGCAGGTCAGGCAGACTGGGTAGCAGGGGCGGTGGCATGGGCGGTGGCAGTGGCAGTGAACCAGGTGGCAGATCTGGACCAGGAGGAGGAGGAAGCGGTGGACCAGGTGGACCAGGCAGAGGTGGTGGCAGTGGCAGTGGCAGATCAGGACCAGGTGAAGGAGGAGGAGGACAAGGGCCAGGGAAAGTACCCGGGAGAGGTTTCATGATGCCAGCTTATGGACAGAAGATGGTGCCAGCATTCGATGGAGAACCTAGGAAGCTTAGGCAATATTTCAATGACCTGGCGGAGCTGGCGGCACAGGCTGGACTTACTGGTGATCAGAGAATTCACTACGTGCTGCGCTACTTGATGGTCCAGCAGGAGGAGCTATGGTCAACGGTCCTGGTGGCATCCACCGTGAACTTCGCCCTCTTCAAGCAACAGATCTTTGAGCTCTACCCAGAAGCAGAAGGTGACTGCCTCTACACCATTGCCGATCTCGAACAGTGCATCACAGAGGCTCTCGCTCGGGGTATCCATACCCGCACCAAAGAGGCGATCTACTTCTGAGAGTTCACCCCGATCGCAAACTACCTCATTCAGATAGGATGAGTCTCGCCCGTGGCACAGGACGAGCGGTACATCCAGGGCTTCCACCCAGCTGTGAAGGTGACGATCTTGCTTCAGTGCGAGATCTTTCATCCCAATCACCATCCGGATGATGCCTGGAACATGAACGACATACACGATGCTGTGCAGAAAATCCTAGCTGGAGGAGGTCTTATTAGAGGGAGCTATGGGATTCGCAGACACTGGGTGAAACATTCAATACTTTCACTTCAAACATGATAAAAAGATAGAAAAAAAAATTTAAATCATATCATCATCTTTCATCTGAAAAAATCTTTAAAATTTTTAAAATCTTTTTAGAATTGTTTTATGTAAAAGATTCTGAAAAGATTTTAAACATTTTGATGCAAGTGCTTTGAAATGATGTTCACAGTCTTTTTATCATCTTATGGCATGAATGATCAAAAAACTCTTTGATCTATATCTTAACCTTTGCAACATATAAATATTATAAGAAGATTTGATAAATATTAATAAAAAGATTTAAAACCCTTTCAAGATAATTTATTGAGAAAGATGGAGAAAGAAATGTGACCATGTCACATTCAAAATAAAATATAAACATTGATTCTTCAGTGATCACTACTATGTTCAGCAGCATAATGTCATTAGTGAGTATCAGTATTTCAAATCAGTGGTTATTAAATATATACAAAATATATTATATTAGCATTAGCATAGTACTAGCATAGTACCAGCACAGTACTAGCACAGTACTAGCTTAGTACTAGCGTTGTACTAGCTTTGTACTAGCATTGTACTAGCATAGTACTAGCACAGTACTAGCATAGTACCAGCACAGTACTAGCTTAGTACTAGCATAGTACTAGCATAGTACTAGCATAGTACTAGCTTTATACTAGCACAGTACTAGCTTAGTACTAGCATAGTACTAGCTTAGTACTAGCATTGTACTAGCATTGAAACATTTGTATCATTCTTTAAAGATGCATACTATCACAGTAAAAGCCTTAAAACCTTAGTATAGCAGTTTTACTATAATTTTAAAAGTGATATTATAACTAAACTATCATTGCTAGCATAGTATTAGCCCTGTAACCTTAGTACAGCAGTTTTCTATGATATTTAAATTGATACTAGCATTTAAATGTCAGTATTAGCATAGTACTTGCCTTAACACCTTAGTACAGCAATTCTATTATAATGTTAAGATTGATAATGCCATTAAAATGTCAGTATTATCATAGTACTAGCTCTATAACCTTAGTATAGCAATTGTTCTAGCATTTAAAAATTGGTGTTAGGCTCAGGCACTTTGTGCTAGCATATATAGGTTCAGCCTTGACACCTCAGTACAGCTGGCTCACTACAATATAAAATTGTTTCTAGCATTCAAATATTAGCACTAGCAT